CAGGTGTTTCCCCTTTCCGTTCTGGGGTGTTGGGGGGGGGGGGGTGTCAGTTTTAGCGGGAAATCAAGGGCGGCTAGCGCAGGATTAAAAACCTCGACGTATCGCTCCCACCGGGTGCTTCTCGGAGGAGAACAGCGCGTCGGGAGCTCCAATCTTGGCCCTCGCGAATTTCAGATAACCGTTTTCCGAAAGAGCGGAAGCTGGTATTTTGCAGGGCTTGGGGGTGGGTTGCGAAATCCTTCGTCTGGTTTAAAACCCAAGGCACCAGCGGCACAAAAGCTTGGCGCCTGGGGGAAAGAGGCTCACACGTGTTTTCGCTTCCCTCCCTCCCTGCCTCCCCTGTTCCACCTCCAGCCCCACCTCCCTTCGGCCTCACTCACGTCCTGTGGGCTTCTTCGGCTCGGGAGTGGGGGGCGCTGGGGCCGGGGCAGCAGGCTCGGGAGCTGGGGCTGGTGGCGCGGCCTCCGCTGGTTGGGCTTCGGATGGGGCGGCTTCTGATGCCGCCGGAACCGCCTCTTGGTCGGACATCGGTAGAAATTGGCGCTCCGCTCTCTGCTTCGGTGAGACTGTGCGTGGAGGGGATAACGACACCGGATCCCAGGAAGGTGCGCAGCGGTGGATCTCTGTTCGTTCTGCTCAAGCCGCGGGGGGGGGGGGGGGCCCTTTGGCCTCCGAGGAGGGGCATCTACGGGTTTTTATATTACCCGCACCCACCCTTCAGGCCTCCCCCTTCTCGCCCCTTCCCCCGGCCCACCTGTCTGGGCGGGAGGGAGAGCCAGGAATAGACGTCCAGCAGCTGCGAGCTGCAAATTCAGCACCTCCTCGGGAGTAGCCGCGGTCTGTGGGGCACCGGGACTAGCCCGCGGGTAATTTCCTACAGACCTCGTCTGGCACCAGAGCAAGGCTGAACCTGCGCAGGGGTTTAGCAAGGATTAATCTGAGCTTCCACTCACCAGGATTTCGTCCTGCAACCTGCTTTTCTTTTATAATGCCAGAGCCTAGCCCTGAAGGGATAACAGATCGAAGGTTGCCTTAGAGAATGTGCAGAATATCTTTTATTTATGAGTATGGCTCATTTAGGAGATCAGGGCTTAACATCCATGGAGATTTAAACCCTCCCTTTCTTTTTAAAGAGAGTAAATCAAGCCTTCCATTCAAGTATGGACGGTGGTCATCTGGAGAGTCCCTCAGATTGATACAGGGGTGGCTCACAAGAAACTTCATGATCTTTCAGTTCAGCATTTTTGCATAACAGTGGAGGTGTGGGGAGCATTTTCCTCCCCCTCTTCAAATGACTCTTGTTATATAGGAGTTTGTGCATTCTTTTCCACAGTGTACTGAGCCCCCTAAACCAACTCTACGTTTACATGGACTGCCATGCAGACTCAATAGTTTGTCAAAGAAACCAGATTGCAAGCTACTGAACCACTTGTACCTTGGCCCTCTGTCCACTCTGGCTAGTGAAATTTTCTAAGAGTGACATCCATGAGGCCCTGGTGTCCATCATTAATCAGTCACTGGGCGTCTTTCCCCGTCACTAAAACAGGCACTCATCTGTCCACCACTTTAAAAAAAAACATTGCTAGAGGAAAATGATGTGACCAAGTCTCTGATTTGCCCTTCCTCGGCAAGACAATAGAAAGAGTGATGGCAGAACAACTCAAGGACTTCCTGGATGACTCATGCCCTAAGACGACACACGAAAATGGGAGGAATGGGTTTGCCAGATCTAAAGAGATACTATGAGGCAGCTCTACTGTCTCACCTGGTGATTATACTATCTTCCACAGCCACTCCTGACTGGAAGCAGATAGAACAAAGCTACTCTCCATCCTTTTCCCTGCAAGAAGTAATATGGGTTAGAAAGCAACATAGACCTGCAAATATTAACAAGGCAGAATATCTGTTACCCTCTTTAAAGATATGGGATACAATACAAAGCACTCAAAATTAGTCTCTAATCCATCTCTGCTCTCTCCGTTTGTGGGTCAGAGCTGGTTCCACCCAGCATTATATAGACACATTTACAAACTGGAGGGAAGCTAACTTAACAAGACTTTGGGATATTTCATGCAAGGGAATCCTAATGAACAAAATGGATTTAGATCAGAAGGCAGGTTATAGGCTTCCCTAGTTTCAATATATGCAATTACAGCATTTATTTAACACAGCCCAGTTCAAAAATCTTGGGATGAAACCTCTTACCCCATTTGAAATTATTATAAAATCTGAGATGGCATCATTTAAAGGTCTGATTTCTTCACTATACAACATACTGGGTCAACCAGATAATGAAAAATCTTTTCCCTATCAGAAAAGTTGGGAACAGGATTGTAGTAGGATTATATCTAATCAACAATGGCAGTCTATTTGGAAATCCTCAACACTTCAGTCAAACTCTATAAATGTCAAAGTACAATCCTTGTTTGGTGTGGTAGTTAAGTTTGGTGTAGTGGTTAAGTGTGCGGACTCTAATCTGTGAGAACTGGGTTTGAGTCCCCACTCCTCCACTTGCACCTGCTGATGTGACCTTGGGTCAGTCACAAGCTCTGGCACAGCTGTCCTTGAAAAAGAGCAGTTTGTGTCAGAGTTCTCTCAGCCCCACCCACCTCACAGGGTGTCTGTTGTGGGGAGGGGAAGGGAAAGGAGTTTGTAAGCCGCTCTGAGACTCCAAGTGAAGGGCGGGGTATAAATCCAATCTTTTATCTTCTTCTTCTTCAAAATTTTAACAGGATGCTATCTTTTGCCACAAAAACTACATTATATATATATCCTTCCATGAGCTTGATGTGCTGGAAGGGCTGTGGGTCAACAGCTTCCTTCATTCATTGTTGGTGGTCCTGTCCACGAATAGCTCAGTTTTGGAACCTGATAATCGAACATATTAATACTATAACAGGTTACCTTATTTCAAATAAGATGGAATTATTGTTGCTATCTCTCTGGGAAAATTGTAATCTACCAAATTCCAAAACAGTAATTGATTTTCTGTTGGCCGCTGCCGGAGCCTCAGTGTATTCATTGCCATGAGATGGAAAAATAACCTACCTCCGACACTCAGACTATGGTATGACAAAATCTGGCAATTCTATGGGATGGAAAAGATTGCTTACAAGAATGCCCTATCAGACAATGCGAGGCAAAAAGCTCTGTTTCTGGCAATTTGATACCCATTAATAGATAACTAATGATAAAGTGCCAAGAAATGTTTATCCTATAGATCTGTTACAGTTGTAAGATTGATATACTCATTGTCTTATTGTTGATTTAGGTAGCTCTATAAATATGTCAAACCAGCAGCATCTGAGAAAGTAATGTATCACAAATGTACTGTTCTTGTTTATCTCTTCTTTGTTTAATAAAAATGTTTAATTAAAAAAAAAGTTTGGGAACCTCTGCTCTAGAGTCCAGACCTTTTTGTCTGGTTTCAGGCTGGGTTATAAAACAGAAACAGTGTTGGTGGCTTTAGTTGATAATCTCCTTTTGAATGTGGAGGAGGGCCATGCCACTGTTACTGACTATATCAGCAGTCATCTGGTTGAGAGAAGGATTAGGGTTCTGCCTTAGATTGGTTGGAGGCCAGCTGTCATCAGTGTGACTTATCTTGGAGGGTTCTTCAGTCCTCATTCTTATCCTCTATGCTATGTAAAACCCTTAGGAGAAGTCATTTGTGGATTTGGAGTAGGTTGCCATAAATATGCTGATGACTTCCAGCTCTATACTTCTTAATCCAGATTGCCTGATGTTAGAGGTCCTAATCCTGTGCTGTAACACTGAGGTTAAATATTTAAGGGTGAACAAGGTGAAATTCCAAGATGGATGTAATGCTGAGGTCTTGGAAGAAAATGTGCTCCCTGCCTTCGACAAGGTCCAGCTAATGCTTGCTGACTCAGGTAAGAGCCATGGGGTTAACTGGATTCAGCACTAGACTGGAGAAGCAACTTAATGTGGCACCAAAAGAGGCATTCTTCCAGCTTCATTTAGCCTTGACTTAGCTGATTTGGTCACATGGACCCATGCTATGGTTACTTTGAGTCTAGCCTCTACATGGGTCAGTCCCTAAAGACAACTTGGAAATTCCAGTTGGTGCAGAATGCCGTAGTCCAGTTACTGTTGGGTGCTAGGTGGAACATGCATGTCATACCCATTCTGCAGACACTTAACTAGTTACTGATCAGTTACTGAGTTCAATTCAAAGTTCTGGTTATCACCTACAAAGCAGTTTAGGTGATTAGAACAGCAGCTGCCTGTTCATGTGCATTCTCAGTGGTGACTTCTACCTTGTGGAACGGCTTGTCCTGAGGAGGTCCAAAGAGGTCCCATGCTTCTATCATTCCACAGAATGTACAAGACAGAAATGTTTGGGAGGCCATTCTAAGAATGGGATTAGAACTGTAGTGGAATGGAACAGGCCAGACTGGCACCTTTATAATGAAATGGGTATTACCTGCTTTTACTGTACTGCCCTGTACCTTGTAATCCACTTTCAGGCTGCCTTGAACGACAAGGAAAGGTGGGATTTAAATGTTTTAATAAAAATAGAAATTGTTTAGAGTATACCTTGTCTTAGATAATTTGCTGTTCATATTGTTCCCTAGTTCTGCAGTCACTGGTTGTCTGATTGCACTGTTTATATCCTGTATGCACTGTATTCCACCTTGGGACCCACTGAGAAACGCGGACTGTACATAAAGTAATAAATATTTCTGTGGAATCAGCTAGTACACGCAGCAGCCAATGCAAATGAAGGGTGATCAAGAACTAAAAGTAAGGACCTGCAAAGTTCTATAAACAATCAAATTATAGAATCCCAAAAAGTACCTTTGTTACAGTGCAACCCTAAACAGTGTTACATCCTTCTAATCCCAGTGATTTCAGTGGATTTAGCAAGATGTAACTCTGTTTAAGATTCCACTGCCTGCTTGCTACAACACCACCACACACACACAGGGGGGGGAAACCAAACCAGAGCAATTTAATGATTTAACAAATTAAAGGCTGAGAGCTCATGGTATATAAATCTTTCAAGCAGATAAATAATTGTCGCATTAGCTTTCATGGACTAAAAGTGTCGCGAAAGTGTTCCTTGCTCATACATCAATAGCAAATAAGAACTAGATTGAAGTATAATGATGTTACACTGCACAGAGAGCTATAAATCTTTGTACCAGTGGGAGGAGGCAGAGCAGTGCATGCATAGATTGGTTTTGGTGTGGCTCAGAGGTTAAGACGCTGAGCTGCAGACTGGAAGGTCTGTAGTCCGGCAGTTCGAGACCCTAGTGCTGCGTGACGGAGTGAGCTCCCGTCTCTGGCCCCAGCTCCTGACAACCTAGCAGTTCAAAAGCAAGAAATTGCAAGTAGATAAATAGGTACCACCTCGGTGGGAAGGTAACAGCGTTCTGTGCGCCTCAGTGTTTAGTTATGCCGGCCACATGACCACAGAAATGTCTTCGGACAACGCTGGCTCTTCGGCTTGGAAGCGGAGATGAGCACCGCCCCCTAGAGTCGGATTCGAGCAGAAATGATCTGAAGCTATATTTTGTAAAGGACAGGATATTTGGTGTGTGTAAAGGTTTTGAAGTTTGTGTGAGAGGTAGGGGTTCTTTTTGACATAGTGGTACTGGAGTCAGAGGCAGCTACTTGCATCATCACTAAGG